TTTTTTTTTTTTTTTTTTTTTTTTTGCTGTCAAGATTTATAAGTGTGTGGTGTTCTCGAATATGATGAGCACTATTCTTTGAAAGGAAGTGGGAAGGTGACTCTAAGGAATTGTAAATATATTTTATTAAATTAATGGGAAAATATCTTTTTATAAGATGTTAACTTTCATTCTTAAATCTTTTGAATAATTTCTTTTGGATGATAATAAGTACAAATTATAGAGAAAAAAAAGGAGAAAAAATTCAATTGAATCAACCCACGAGTTGACCCGTGATTCGTGATGGGCAGATTAAGGTTAGCCTTCATTGACCTGTGACCCATTTTAACTTAACTTATTCTAACCCATCACTCGTTCTAACCCAACCCTAACCTGGCCCAACCCACCCATTTGCCAAGTCCATGTTATCTAAATCTATGAGAGTTTAGCCAAATTGATATTCACTAATTAAAAACTTTTATTTAAGTCAACGATAAGGTTTAAATGTTGACAACTTTCTACTTTTTCTACATGATATATATAACAAGAAAATTAAATATTGACATGTACGTGAAATAATGAAAAAGTAGATCTCTTTTTTATTCACCTAAATCCAGAAAATCAACATATAATTCTACTTTTAATAGCATGTCAAATAATCATTAGTCAGTTATACTATTGACATTATACAAGTTGTATGGAAAGAAGGATTTATAGATTTGTTTGAAAAGACAAAAAGAAAAAAAGAAAAAAAATTCTAATTTTCAAAGAAGCAATGATTTTTGACAGCAAAGCATGGATATATTCTCCAATATTTTCCTTATCAAACATAGGATAAGACAGGGTAGTTTATTCTCCATTGCTCCATCTTTATTTTCATCTGGGCATTATTGGGTAGGGAGGTCCATGTTAATGAGATGTGAATGCAATGGCAATGTCCTCCTTTTCGAGGGGCCATATTGAAATGAAAAAGGAATGAAGAATTGTACAAAAGGTAAAAAAAAACCTAATCACTGAGACCCCATGTTAGCTTGCTACCCAAAGATGGTTAAAAGTTTGACAAACAGGTAGGGCCAGTGTTGCTGATACCTAACACAAAGAGCTCAATTGGGGATATGAGAGAAATCATGATAGCTGCTTCATTTCAACCTCAGCTTTTATGTTGTCACATTCTCCCCTCTTCAGTACTGCCACACAGAGTAAAGGTAAATTAGCTGAGTTACATATTAGCCATACAGCTTTCCAAGTCCCCACTTGTGGACACCATCATTTTGTGCTAGAAAACCCATCACCTCCTACTCAATTTTTCTAAAAGCAAGTCTAACCACACATAATAATCAGTTCCAAATTTGAGAATTTGTTTGACTGATTTAAGTTTTCAACCACTAAAAGAAATCATTAAGTTAATTGAAATCATGGATCATAATTAGGTCCTACTGCCAACAATTTGAAAATTAAACAGCCACTGTTGTTAAAAGGTATGCCAAAGTTCATGAACTAACCTAGTTGAGTATATCTTTTGCGGGGTTTCATAGTCAGAATAGAATAATTTTTCTCATCATTTGATTTGAATGGTATATATAGAGATTAATTGTGATGTGATTAATTATGATGTTTTGTCTAACAATCAAACCAAACATTGTATAAAGTAAGGGTCCGTTTGGTTGGGATGGCAATAGAAGAAGATTCTCTAAAAATAGCTTTACATGATAATTTAGTCGACTATACCCTCACTTTTTTTGAAAGATAATCTTTCAGAATTTTCATGTGAGAAGGAAATTATTTGATGAAAAGTTCAAATTTGATACAAATAAGAATATAATCTCTTAAAAATTTTTTAATTAAAGATATAACTTTTGTAATTTTTTCAAAAAAACATTAAGTAAATATGCAAGGTGGTATCAAAACTACTACATTTTAAAAGTTTTCAATCAATAATATAACCCTATACATCTATTTAATACCTTTTAAAGAAAATTACAAAGGTTATATCTTTAATTAAAAACTTTTAAAATGTGATAGTTTTTGTTAATAAAAAAAAAAGTCATATTGTTAATTAAATTTTTTTTTTGAAAGGTTAGATCCTTTTTTATACTAAATCTCAAGAAAAGTGGGGAGTGTAGTTACCCCCTTCGAAAGCAATTTCTAGAGGGATTCATTTGTTGGCTTGCTTTGGCATCGTCCAAACACAGCCTTATGTTCATCCAATCATCCCCATGTGATATCTACATTCTTCCCCCTCACATTTCACATCATTCTCCTTATATATTCACCTTACATTAATTAACATCATGATCATAAAATCTTTGGTACTTAATTATCGTCTGCTTTCTCGTGTAAAGCTACATGTCATCTTTTAATCCCAAAATAATTTATGAAAGGTCTTAATTTGTTATTTAACCCAAAATCATTATTCAAACCTACAAAAGTATTTTTTGATGATGTTGACAATATGTTTCCAATGTAGTAATTAAAGTAGTACAGGAACAGGAATCTTAAGAATTAATTAATTATGTGAAGTTGAGTTGGGAAAAGAGCAATTACTAATCCAATTGCCTCTTATCCCTTTGAAAACTTTGATGCTATTTGAACCTGATTGGCTCAAGATTTCCAAATTTTGCTTATTTTCTCAGTTCCAATCAAGATGAATGGCATTAAAAATTAAGTCAAGTTTGCAAAAGTAGAAAACTGGAATATGCTTACAAAATGGAATATTTACTGTGCCGAGCTTACAAATGTCAACTGTCAAATTGAGTTTCACTCACTTTTTACCCTCACTTGTCTTGTAATTTAAAGAAGAAAACAAATAATTCATTCAAAGGTGAAAGGTGAAAACCAAATTAAGGCTCTCTCTCACCCCTTTCTCTTCTGACTTCTTCACATAGACATCCATGGGGTACAATTTCAATTCAATTAAGGTTTTGGTACAAACAAAAATGTTGTTTTTGGAGATAGAGAAGAGCAGAGAACTACAATAATACAGTATGGATATGTCGTACATATAAAAACACAACAGAGGGAGCTGAGGTTTCATTCTCTCACTTTCTCATCAGCCAAACAACATATAAGACAGTGTCCTGCAAAAGAATATTTTCTTCACACATAATTGCATTTGACGTTGATGGACTTAACTGAATAAGAAAGCGAGAGTTTTTACAGCCCTTTTTTACTTAATGCTCTAAGTCATAACATTTCTTCCTCTAGAGTTACATGTAGAGCAAAATTACTTGGAAAAACCCTAGGTGAAAATAGCTCAGGAGGGATAGACAGGGAAGGAGAAGATGAGTTGGGCGAGAACGGGGAGGAAGAGTGCTTCAACCCTATATCAGAAGCTTCTGATATGGAGTTCACTACACAAAGAAAAAGAAACACAACAAACAAAGAGTAGGGTCTTACAAGGTCAAGAAAAGGTCTTACAAGGTCAAGAAGATCACTAAAAATTAAAAAGAGATAAGAAGAAGAGGATCTAGAAAAGGAGAAATAAGCTCAGGTAGGATAGCACCAAATTAACACGAACACACCACCATTAACACCATCTCATTCATTGATAGGACTTTGTTTCTTGGAGGATTGCACTTGGTGGCATTGTTTGTGCTCCCATGCATTGTTTTTAGTTGAAGGTGACCTGCATAAGATGTATATATAATTAAGCATAGAACACAAGATATAGAAGTACTAACAAAACATACATACACATGACATGCAAAAGAGAGGTTTAGAGTACCTAGTGGAAGCTTGAACTTTGCTTTGGCCTCAAAAAGTTTCTCCCTTTCTTCCATATTTTCAGAAAGAAAGAGGCAGTGATGAGATGATGAGAGGAAGAAAAAGTGTAGAGAAATTGAGGGAAGTGCATAGGTTTATAAAGAGAAGGAGATTACATGGGCAGGCTGTGGGAATGACAGTGACAGGTCCAAGGCCCAGAAAGAATGTAGAAAATAAGGTCAGCACTCAGAGTGGGGGAAAGCATGGGCCTGCCCGGGCTGCCCGGCCGACCATAGGGTAACTAATAAAGTCAAGCAAATAAGCGTTAGTCAATAAGCCAAATTCTGCTTACTACCTCCAAACATTATTGCCGTGGCTTCCTCAATTTTGCATTCAGTTTCCCCATGTGTCAGCCTTTTGTGTTTGGGCCCTGCCTCTCATTTGGTTTCTCTTCAAATTTTATTATGCCATTGTGCATAAGTGCAATGCATTTCCCTTTAAACTTGTTCATTAGCAGATGAACTAGGTTTTGGATGTCTTTTAGCTTTAGTCAAAGGTTACTATATAGCAGAAGCCTGAGTTTGGGCAATGAGATGGGAAAATGGGAATCTAGGTAATTGTAATAAATCTTCAAGTATATTTGATTTGGTGCTTAGGTGCTTAAAATAAGTGTTTTTTGAAGGATTATGGGGAATGGAACCTCTGGCAATATTACCCTATCACAGTCTCCTAAGATATGGTCAAAATATTGCAATATTCAGCACCTTCCCCAATTCCTTGGCCTGCGTTTTTGTAGCTTTAATTTATATGTATAATGCATTATTTTTGGCCTTGATTTTCTCTCCAGCCTCCCCTCCCTTCCCCTTACTTTCTAGTACCATTTCACTTGTTGTGGACTGTACTATCTGTGCATCATGATTGGTTAAAACTTAAACAAGCTTCCTTTGGCTCCAGGCAACATGCATGCAGTTGCAGGCTGCAGCCTGAGTTCCCTCATTCCACTATCAGTGTACTCATGCAGCACCATTCCCTGCCAATATGTTACCTTCTTTTTGTGATTCACTTTTTTCTGTTTGTGTTCTTTTAGCCCCATTTCTTGCCCATACCTACCCACATCTACCTTAACATCCCATGTAGTTAATTAATGTTAATAAATTTAGTTTTGAACCCCTAAATTAATGGCCGCTGTCCCATTCTATCCTATATTATCCTATCCTATCATGTGACTCAAACTTGCACTATAAGGAGAACAATTGAAGTACCGATGAACTTGAAGATGGTGTGATAAAAAATTTCAGAGCAATGTGGATGTGACCTATGATGTTATTGAATCAAATTTGGACAAGGAATCAGTGAAATACTAGGAAAGACATCCACTAGTTGAATAATTGGTGAGGTTCTAGCTAAAGCAGTGAGCTTTTGATGCATGAGGTGACTGACTAGAACCAAATCAGGGAACCAATAATGTGTAAAGGGCCTAAAGGAGAGCTTGAAACTTGAAAGATGAATATGCCAAATTCGTACCCATTTTTCATTTTGCATGTTTATAGACAAAGTGAAACGTTGCTGTTTACTCTGTGGCATTTTGTAGAGAGGCCCATGTGGAAGTAGGAGGGAACAAAATCCTGCAAAGATTCTTCAACAGCACAGAGAAAGAGCAAGAGGGTTTAAATGATTTTGAAAAACTTTGAGTTTTTCGGTGGACCACTTGCGTACTGCAGTTTCCAGGGTTAAGTTTTTGTCAAACAGTTTAACAAACCCATATCTTACAATAGTAAACATCAATGTTACATTGGCCAACAACGATAGGTGAGGAAGGTAGAAAAATCTCCAGTGATGTCAAAGCGTATAGTTTTACTCTCTTTGTTCCGAGACGTCTCTAAGTGAAAAGAACCAATCATAATATTTTTCTCTTTTCTTCCCTAATTATGATATTTCATAACATCACCACAAGGTACAGAGGCAGAATCTTTTTCTTAAAAAAAAATAAAATATACATCTCTATATATTACTGTTATAAGTAGTTGCATCATAACTTACAAGGCAACTCTCATAAACAAAATTTACGTATTTTATTAATTATCAATAAAATTTATGATTCTTATATAAGGAAAAAAAAAAAAGGTATTGAGCTCCGATAATTGGTGGACATCAAGATATGCGATGGGATTGGGAAACCAGGCCGGGCCTAATCGGCTTTATCTAGAACTGGTCTACGTCAAACAAAGCCCATTAGCGGTCCATGATTCACCTATATTCTCCTCATTAGGCCCATGAACTAGTCAGTTTCTGCCGCGTGGAACACCAACACCGCCACGCGGCCCAAAGAAAGACGTTGGTGGCGGCAGCGGCACTTTTCTTTGCAGGGTCTGGTCTGACGCCGGCGAAGGTACTGATGATGGGTCTCCCCCTCACCAAGCTGAATTAACTTGAAAAAGGAGAGCTAACAAGGAAGAAGAAGTATCTATGGAAGGCATGGTTGCAGAAGTTTAAAGAAAGACGCACCAAGGGAAGAAAGAAATGGCGTCTCATTACTGGGCACAGTGTTCCCAACTCGATAGTATGACACCTTATTTTACCGGCTGATCCTTGGTAAATGGTCCTCTTCCTTCAGTTTCATATTCTCTTTGGTCTATTATCGTTTTTATGGAACTCAATATGTATGTACTGGTGTTGACTGGAGAACTTGTATGCCCATTTATTGTTTCAGGGAGAAGAGGCTAAAGATTCTCAATTTGTACTAGCGTCTTTAGAATGTTAATGGGCGCAAGGATAATGTAAGTTTGATTTTGCTTTATCTAATGCTTAAAGCGTTTATTTGTCGGATTGAGGAAATTCATGAAGTGCTGATAAGTAAAATGTCTGGAAGAATAATGAAAATTCTTATATATCTTTAATGAATCAACACGTAAAGAAGAAATTTATTGAGGTTATTTAAACAATTTCACATCCAGTCCTAACATTTTAAATGCCAAAACGTCATGGTTTTCACTTTCCTCTTATTTGTCATTGTCATGATCACAATTTTTTCTAATGACTACAGCATATATTAGAAGTGCCACTAGGTGAAATTGTGCTCCCTTTAGGTTGTCCAATGGTTAAGAGCTTGAATCTCTATGTGGGAGATCTCAAGTTTGAATTATGGGATGAGTGAGGAGGGGTTGGGAAGTGAAGGGCTATTTCTTGTAGTATGGCCATCATCTGACGTACCAAAAAAATCTAGGTGAAATTGCTCCTTTCAAGGCCAGACTAACACCTTAGTCTAATTAGGCAGAAATGAGAAGGAAATTAAAGAAAGGGCAGGTTAGAAAGTGGCCCCTGGTGCCAGACTGAAGCTAGTAGAGACTGATGAGTACAGTGAATCTGGCTGAGTTTATCCTGATGGCCTGTACAGGATGCTAAATCAATTCCTTGGAAGATACAAAAATTTTAATATACCTTTTATTATTGGAGAGAATGAGGTTTCTGAAGACCGAGCTGATCTGTTGGGCATATATGCTGGAGCATTTACTCAACTAGGTTTGTGTTTAAATTTCAATATTTTTGAAATTTTGATTGTTTGTAATTAGTTTATCAATATATTTTTCACTATCTATTCATCCCAAGTTAATAAAATCTGTGCTTAACCAATTCATGCTAAATTGTAGAATCTCCCTTTCAATGGTCAGTCTCTAAATACTACGATCCTAAACAACTATAAGAACTCCGAGTGTATATATTTTTCAAGATAAGATAAGACTAGACAGAAAGTGGATTCCACCTAAAGTTACTAAAACAAAAATGATATGTTACAATATTACATGGCATTGTAAGCTTCTAGCATGATGTATTGTTATGTAATTGGCTCTTTTCACTTAGAGGTTTGCTTATGATATTGTATACATCCACTCATTTAAGGACACATCACACTCATTTAATGACATGTCATAATTGTAAGCTTGCATTGTAATTATAGCCTTGCTGTTACTTATAAGAAAGACTCCGTATCATGTCTAGCACAAAGTTAAGTCCATTCCATGCTGTTGAAGCTGTGACATCAAGCTTGCACATATTTTACTGATATTTTGAAGAAATGAGGATGGAGGGAACTAAACTTCATGAAACTGATTTAGTTCAGTTTATTCTATGTTTTTTTGTTGTATTTTAATTTTAGTATGTCTTTAAGCGTAGTTGGTGAAAAGTAAGCACTTTGTCAAGATAAGGAAGCAAAAGTTAAGGGAAGGCTGTTTTGTTCACATGTCTGCTACTTTATGCTTTTGTCTGTTGTACTAGACTTGTACATATTTTAACCTTCAATAAAAGACTTTAGTTGTTCTGCTCTCCATTTTCTTTGTTTTTCTTCAAAGTTAAACCATTTACACATGCAATGTATGGAACTGCCTTACGTGTTCACTCAAAAGGCTCAACTGGTTACTTCCATCTTCAAGATGGACCTGCCTTTCACAAATATTGAAGTTTCACTGTATATGAAGAACCTCTGAACCTGACTCAGTTCATGATTCGTGGTGATGTAGCTGTTTTGGTATACTACTAATGTCTGGTAAAGAGATGAATGGTGATATTTCATTTCCTTGATTTGATATCGGCTTTGATAACCTATACAGGGAACTTGCACTGAAAGAGATTGGTGTTTTGGATGTCATGAGTATAGATGGAACGTCTGCAAGATACACTAAGCCGAGATGTGTACTACTTCGTCCTTTCTCTCCCAAAAGAAAAGAAAGTCTAAAAATGTTGTTTCTGAGCTGGTTCTTCAGCCTACTGAAATCATTATCTGATTGCTTGTCCAGATTTTCATTTTCTTACCATTGAAAGATTTTTTTTTTGGTACATTAAAAGATTAGCTGCTTAGAATTACAAAGGTTTGAACCTCTGACCTTAACCTCAAATCAAGGTTTTTAACTTAATGGGTAGCAAGAGAAAGATTTAGATAGTGGAAATGTACAAAACCAGAGTCAGATTGATTTGTTTCCTTAAATGGGGCTGTCAGATTGCTATTTTTCTCTTATTAAGGTTTCTCAATGGGAAGCAGAAATTATGTTTATATCTATTAATAAACTACATTGGACCCACAATTAATGGGAGTCTCCTCCTTCAGTGATTAAAGATTCCATGTGTTTTTGAGATTATTATTTACCTCCACTTAATCGGTATCTGATTCCATGATCCATGTGTTTCTGTACCTTATATTTTTCTGGTGTTTGATGAGGTTGCAAGTTGTTTTGGGTTGGGTACAAGTGTCTAGCAGCAGGATGCTGATTTTCGTTCTCCAGACTCTAACTGAAAGGTGCTTGCCAATCAATGACTACCGTTAGTTTAGTCAACTTTAGTGGCTGATTGATTATAAGTCTAATACATGTGATCCGTGCCCTTGTGAAATAGACTGGCTTATCCTCTTCCTCTTGTCCAGATGTTAGATTTCCACCGCACAACGCTGACTTATACACAGTGGATTGCAAGTCTTGGGACAAGAATGGAACCATAGTTCACGTCAGAGGAATTCTCATGGATCTCTTGATGAAATGTGTCTTTGTTGGGTACTTGGTTGCGTGCATTACAGCATCCCAAGCCAGCCAGATATCTCAGGAATCTGACAGGGTGATCAATCTGCCAGGCCAACCTCCAAACCGATATAATATCTCTCAGTTCTCAGGGTATATCACTGTCAATCAAGAGAATGGAAGGGCTCTTTTCTACTGGTTTTTTGAAGCTCATTCTCAACCATCAAAGAAGCCCCTCCTCCTCTGGCTTAATGGAGGTCATATAAATGGATATATGAGTTGGTTTAGTTATCTTGTTTGTTTTTCTAGTGTTTTAAGCATGATCTAATTGGATGACTATGTTTTTGCTGTTAAAGGACCTGGTTGTTCATCAATAGGGTACGGTGCAGCTGTGGAGCTAGGTCCTCTTAGAGTTGGAAAAAATGGAGTTAGCCTTCACTTCAATAAATATGCTTGGAATAAAGGTTTGATATCAATTTCCTTCATCTACCTTAATTTTCTTCAGTACAATTCAATCAGCTGATCTTGAGAATGGGTTGGTAAGGTCAATCATGGATGAACTTTTCTTGCAGAAGCCAATCTTCTATTTGTAGAATCCCCAGTTGGAGTTGGGTTTTCTTACACTAATACATCTTCTGATCTCAATAAGTTGGATGATAGATTTGTAGGTAATTAACCATTTGCAGATGTGATATTTTGTCTTTTTGTTTATGATAAGGTTGAAAATTTACGGTTTCATTTTGACTTAGCTGAGGACGCCTACAATTTCCTGTTGAACTGGCTTCAGAGATATCCACAGTTCAAAACCCAAGATTTCTTCATATCAGGAGAGAGTTATGCAGGTAGTAAGTTTTGGAGTTCTTTTCCTCCCTTTCACGTCGATATATTGTAAATGCTCTCTGAATTATTCTTTTATCTTGCAGGTCACTACGTGCCACAACTAGCAGAACTTATCTATGATCGAAACAAGGACAGAACTAAATATCCATTAATTAATCTCAAAGGTTTTATAGTAAGTAATCTTCCACGTTTATTGTGTATAGACACCTCAATGATCAGTGCCATTCGAATGTACATATTTATCTTGTTTATTTGGCCATTAACATAATGTGAGGAGAGAACATGCATGTCGCAGGTGGGAAATCCAGCAATTGATGATTACCATGATTACAATGGTTTGCTAGAATATGCTTGGACCCATTCTGTGATACCAGACCAACTCTACCGCAAAGCCAAAGAAGTGTGTGATTTCAGATTAGCTAACTGGTCTGACAAGTGCAACAATGCCATGGGCAAAGTCTTTGATGAATATGATGAGATTGACATTTATAACATCTATGCTCCTAAATGTCTTATTAATGGCACATCTTCATTTGCTGATATCAGTGGCCAAAGTGTTGAAGCATTAGGCAAGGTGATTATCAAAATATGGTGGCAACAAAAATGAATTTTCTAGTGATAAATTATGATTTAATACAGCAAACTGATAGATTTTGACTTCATAGAAAGTGCGCTTTCTTGCAGCTAAATTATTATGGATTAAGAAGGATGAGAATCCTGGGAGGTTATGATCCGTGTTTCTCTGTACACACAGAACAGTATTTCAACAGGGAAGATGTTCGAACATCTCTTCATGCAACTGTCAAAGAAGGAAAATGGAAGACTTGTAAGTAAGTAATGGAAGCATCACTTTATTCAATTCTTGAAATTTATTCATGCTATTTGCTCTTCTTTTTCCTTCTCCTTTTGTGACATAGATGTTTTCCATTTCCAGTGATTCCGTCTTGGGGACATATATTTTTAACGTTTCTTCTATCCTTCCTATCTACAATAAGCTCATCAAAAGTGGCCTCAAGATATGGATTTATAGGTAGGTTACCTTTTCTATTGTGCAGTATTTTCTGCACTTAGACTAACCTTCTCCTTCTTAGACTGTTGAATTGGGGATCTACAAACATCAATAATACAACAGTGCAAGAATAAAAGATAAAGCGTTGTTTAACTTTCATGGTTGCCTTTTGTTTGTGAAGATTGATCTTGATTTTTCTTTGCAACAGTGGGGATGCAGATGGCAGACTACCCTTCATCGCTTCACGAAACAGCATTCAAACTCTTCAACTTCCTGTCATTTCTC